CCTCGTAAACTTAGTCTCGCGAATGCGGTCCCTCGTTCTGTGGGCTTGTGGGCTCAAGTTTTCTTGCGCAGTTGTTGTTGTTATTGTTTGTCCTGCAACATGCCTCAGCTCTTCCATTCGCTCTGCGAATCCCCCGCCCGATCCCGTACATGACTAGGTCGAGTTCCTCGTGATGGTCGTCCTAGGTCGGCCGTATCCCGCGTGGCGAGCAAAGGGTACCACGCCGCTGCCGCCGCCGCCGCCGCCGCCGCCCCGGCAGCAAGCAGCAGAAGGTACAACAGCGGTGCGACTTTCTCCAGTTTGCAGCAGCTGAGAGAACAACAGCAATGCGTCTTGCTCCCAGTTTCGGGGCTCGATATCAAGGGACATGCGTTCGGGGGGATTGACCTACGCCCTCTCATCTCTGGGCTGCGTGCTGGGCACACTTGCTTGGAGGAGGCCCCGCCATCTCTCATGTAACCGTTGCTCCACAGCGCGCGGTGACCAGAATATATAAGAGGAGGCGTTTTTGTTGCTGCACCGCAGATAGATGGACGTTTTTCTGTGCGGTATTCGCGTTACGAATCATCATATTTGTAAGTTAAAAAAGTATTTACAACAGTTGGTTGGTGTTTGATGCACAAAGTTTTTTTTTTACTTGTAGAAGGAATAGCATAATAGGCGTGTTCGGAATCGTAAGACACGGGCGTTGACTATGGTGAGGCGTGTTTGTGGCCGAGAGACATTAGGCTGGCGTGGACGACAGCAGTTGATGGATACAAAATTGTGAAAATTGAACCGAAGTGTGTTATACAATAGTCTCAAGCCCATTTGCTTTTACCTGGCAGAGAGCAGGGTTTGGGGAACGAAGGAGCTTGGCAAGCGCACACACACGTACATTTATTTGCGTCGGGTATCTGCGATTGTCACTGCGTATGGATAGGTAGCTCTCTGACGCCCTGAAGAAGAAATTGCGGAAGTTTTTCAAGTCGACTACATCTACCTAAACCGGATTTTTAGCCGCCGGAGAAACTCCAGCCTTGAGAGGCTTGAGAATACATTGTCTACACGGCTTTTATTTCGACGTGTTTTTTCTTCTTTTCCCCCTCTCTATGTCGTGACTTGGGGCATAGGAAGAGGGCTGACGAGGGACGTGATATCGATAGGATAGCTGGGGTAGGGAGAACTGCTTGAGCCACCTTTGGCAAAGTAGAGGAAGGAATGATTGGCCATCGGTACCTTTGGCAGAGTAGGAAGGGATGATTGGCCATCGGTGATCAGTCCTCGTGTGGGAACAACGCTCCGCCCTCTCGAGGTCGAGTGACCAAAGGGTCTAATAGCCGGTATGAAAAGCTTGAGTACGCCGCCAACGGACAGGCGTGTTGGGCTAAGTGTTGGCGATGGGCTGACTCGTGAAGCTAAATAGAACTGTGCTGTTTCCAAAAGCAGCATGGGAGTCTTCTAGCCTATAACCGTATCGCTTCAACCACGCAGTTTCCAAGAGCTTCTCGATGACAACCCCCGCACTAGAGAACCGCAGCTCAACGAGAACCACATGCTAGGAAGACAAGATGATGGGTGGGTATGGGGCACCAGGGGGAGGGCCCCCTTCTGTGTGACCACGGAATGGAGCTCCTACCCGCGAGAGATGCTGGGACAGTGAGCGCTGACTTATTTGTGATGGGAAAATAAAAAAATAAAAATGGGGCCAGCAAGACGGCTTCTCTCTTCGGCCACCGGACCGAACTCATCGCTCTAGGCAGCGTCTCATTGGGCTGTCGTTCTCCGATCGTTTTTTCTTCTTGTACACTGCTGTCGCCGTCAAGTACATACCATGGTAGAAATTCCCCTCGGACACATACTGGACGCGCGCGCGCGCATTCATTCTTCTTCCTCTGCGTGCACTCATCCGTTCACGACACGGCGAGACGAGGAGTGTGGTAGACGGCGATCGCCGATCAAGAATTTCCAGGCGCAACGTGCGGTTCCTTTGGAAGGAAGACATAACATACCACCGATGGACCTAAACGGTGCAGCAACCCCCCCCCCCCCCCCCCACACAATTTTTTTTAAAAATTAAAAGAAAATAAATTCGCGGGTGGCCCCTCCCAAAATTAACAAAAAAACGCCC